AGAGGGGTGGAAGTTGACTGTGAGGCGGGAGGCACTGCAGTTGCCCCGCCTTCAGCTGCTTCCGAACCCAAATATGCTGTCGTCGGGTATACTGCTTAGTTTATGGGCTTAAATGACGAGCAAGGGTCGTGATCTCACCTTGACTGATACTATGTTTCCAATAATTGATAGTTTACATTCTCTCGTCGTGCTGATTACTGGACATCAGCAAACGGCCAACCCGGCCTAAAAACACCTGAACACCATCATGACCTGTATAGTAAGTGCTATTTCTCCAAAATAGTGAGGGCCGGGTGCCTGCCCACTTCCCCGCTGTGTCCCCCTTGGTCGTCGAAATAATCTTCAAAAATCGTCCTGATGGAGCTCCTGCAATAACGCCCGCGAATATGAAAGCCCGCCCTTACCCCGCCCCTGCGCGGGTTCGTGAACAAAGAGATAGTCGGCGTAAGGAGTAGCAGTTTGCAGAAATCTGTCGTCGACTGATGGATCACAGTGCCTTGGTGGCCTGCAAGTCCACGAGGACATGAGCGCGTGTCTTCGTCTGTAACAGGGGCCCACCTCCTAGTGGTCATGAGTCTGCCGGACGACGACATCGAATCAGGCACGTTTCATTCCACCCTTCCGATGGCTTACGACCTTGAGAGTCGTACCCAAGTTGTGCCCGAGGTACCCGATCATAGCTCGACTGACTTCCGGGTCTTCGGTGAGCTCACCGCACACATCTCGGAACTGAGCGTATACCTCTTCCAGCTTGTGTAGCTCGCGAGCGAGAACCTCGAGTTCAAGCCAGCGACCGTCTTCGCCCCCCAATGTATAGGCACCAAGACTGATACCTAGACTCGCCCCTGTGCTGCTCAGACCATGCATATTGCCTTGTCCGGCAATTCCGTCTTCAACGCCTGCATCGAAGTAAGAATGTGTTGCCTTCTGGTAGAAGCTCGTGATCTTGCCGATGATAGTCGCAAGAAGCATAGCAGTTGTGTGTGTTCCTGAACGGCTTAGGCATGGTGCGCATGCAAGCAGAGCAGCACAGCTATCCACAGCTCGGCGATTTAATGAGAGAACAACGTCGAATGGCGGTGGATCGGGTGAAGATGCACTGTGCATGTCCTGGAGCGACTGAAGGCATACCGTAAAACAAGTGCAGAAATTTGCACCATCGTGTTTGGAGCTGACCTTTCTTTGAGCGCTTGGTCCGTTCCGTGGTGTTGAGGAGGGGCTTGGGAAATAGCTTGAGCTCATACTTGCGGGCGTCAACGCTGGAGCAGTTGCACCAAAACATTGTGTGTCGCGAGATACTGAATCCACCCACGAGTTAAGCTGGGAGGTTGTGTCATCCATCGATACGGAGCAGCTTTGAGGTCCTGACAGGTTTGTGCCCGTATAGGAAAGATCGGTGTAGTTGATCGACGCAAAGTCGTTGGGAGGCGTCCACGGCAGATTGTTGCTGTATATACTCGTGACGTTGCCAGGGTCCCGAGTGTCGAGGCCATTTGCCTCGCAAGGGTTTAATGGGCCCCTACCAAATAAGGGGTTCGAGAAAGTATCGGCAAAGTCCATTGCAACGTCCCAATCTGTGTCGATCTTGTAAAGAGGGTGGGTGACGGGAATATCACGCAGAAGAGCGGCAGCGTT